GTTAAAAGGGGCATGGACATTTCTCTTTTTTGTATCGAAAAAATATCAAACCGTGAGACTAAAGTATTGAACTGAACCAAATCGTGAAATTTCCATATCATTGCACGCTTATGCACTACGTTTGTTACGGTTTTTATTTTTGTCAGGTTGCTTCCACTGATGGAAGTGGGTGGCTTTGTGTCTAAAAATCTCAGATCTTCATTTTGTTGTGAAACGTCTGGGACAATACTGGGAATCTTTTCCAGAGAAGTGTCGTTGGTGACTTTTTAAGCTGTGGAGGGAAATGATGAGGATCTTGACAAAAACGAGGAAAACGAGCAAAATTCGCAGAGAACCGGAAGGAATGAAGGTAAAATACAGTTAGCACRAATGCTAATTTTAAAACGTGACAGAAACTAATTTCCACCAGCCCATTTTATTCCACTTCAATCAAGCTCTAGTTCATTTGCATTGAAAGTTTGGTTCATTTGGGGAGGTGTGAAAGTGTAGCGGACCAWTTRAGTGAACTCTGGTCCGCCTACRAACAGTCTCAGTTCAGACTACAGCATAGGGCAACTAGAACAAACGGGTGTGTCTAGTACTAGAGGCACAAATGACTCATGGTCACTCCATTTTGCTTACATTTCGTAAAGAAGGAAGTCACGCTCTGTGTCTTTTTCAGAGGTTTTTATGTTGTTTCCTTCAGTGGTTCTTGGTGTTGTGTCACCACAGACAAGAGGGGAACATGTTGTTCACAGGGTTTGCTTGGTTTGACATAGTGCAGTGTAAAAATGAACCACACCAGCTGAAAATGTAAACACATTGCAACGATACAGAAAATTCACGATTCGTTTCGGTTCGATACTTTAGTCTCACGTTTCAATATGTKTTCATTACAAAAAAGAGAAATKKCCATGCCCCTTTTAACTTGTAATTTATTTTAATAAATTATGAACATTTGTTTAACCTCAAAAGTACAGTTTTTAAATTAAATGTTGCTAAAACAGCAAGTCTCTCAGTGGATCTGTGCTCAAAAATGCAGCCTAGGTGGAGTAGTCGAACACAGATCCACTGATCCTTCAACACAGAGCATCTTCAGAAGACAAGTTGATAAARTAAATTTTAAAAATCTGTATTGTTCCATACAAGTGTGTGTTGAACCTAAAGCACTGTTCGATACGGTTCGATACGGGTACATGTATTGTTGCACACCTACAATCGAACCGAGTCCACTGGACTATTAGGTGTGAAAACACCCTAAGACAGACACAGAGGCAACACGTTAGGTGGTAAAATGCAATTCACATTTGCACGTTATAGAAGACAACATGTCCCCGTGCCCTGTTTCAGATCATCTGYATCACAYGTGCATCTTTTACTGCAGAGGACTTACTTCTCTCTTGGGAACTCCCATTCCGGATCGTAGGGCAACTCAAACTCTATGACTCCAGCTAGCATGGGGGAACAGCCGGACGAGAGTCGAGCCACCCTCATCAGGGACGCGCTGGACTTTCCTGATGAGTTGGACTCTACTGAATACTGCAGGAAACAGATGAGAACGTTATTAGCAACCATTTGATCCACATAGTTTGACTTAGATGTAGTAGGACATAGTGATTGTGCAGATAAGCAACTTTAGCACAAGCTTCAGAGCAAACAAGACCTCAAATAGGCACATCTAGTATTAAATCTATTTGAATAAAAGAGTTGGTTGACTTGGTACAAAGGTGAAAGGTGCAGGTTGGCTACGGTGTTCAGCAGTCTGTTTTAGGAGCKATCAGGTCATCTGGAAGTCCTACCTGTCTACGAAGAGGGAACTTTGAAAGCTTCTGTACAGGAAGGGCATCAAAAGGTTCCCTCCTAGGGTGGGCCTGCATTCGACACAACACCACGATGATGATGGCCATGATCAACGCCACAAATCCACAGGCGTAGATGATGATGTCGGTGTACTTGGTCTCCATGGTTTCTATGGATATTGCTGCTTCTTCCTCTGCAGAGGCAAGTATATGGTTACATTTGAGCCATATGATTTGAGAATCAAAACCATGACAGATATGGAACATGTCAAATAAATTAACGACTGAGAAGCTACACCAAAAGCTCAAAGGGTTGTGAGGAATTTAAAGCTCAGAAAGGAAATTAAAGCTTGTTTTGTTCAGTTTTACCTGACAGGACTGTGAGCCAGGCAGACTGGTAGGCATAGCCGATTGAATTGCCGGCCAGGCAGGTGTACTCCCCTGCATCTTCCATGGTAACTTTGGACAGGTACAACACCTCCACCTCTGACATGTTCAGGCTGCCAGTCTGCACATCATAAAACACAACAGAATCAATACAAAGAACTTTAAAGAGAAGTGAAAACTGTGGATGATCCGTGCAACGAACCTTGAGGACCTGGACATACGGCGCCCCATCAGGCCCTGAGCGGCTGCCGTTCCTTTCGATGTGCTTCAGCCACTGAATGTGAGGCTGAGCGTCGCTGTAGACCTTGCAGTGGAACTGAACATCGCTGCCTACAACTGCTGTAGTGTTGGCAGGTAAACCGGCCTGCAGGATTGGTCTGTGAGGAGAGCGTTCTGCAACAAGAGGAAAGAACAAAGAACTGAACAGAATGTCAGACTTTAAATATTTATGTATCTTTGCAGCAACGGGAGAGACTAAATTAGAATTTTCTGCAATCCTAGACACTCCAAGTTCACAACAAAATGAATTCAATGGCTAAAAAAGTGGATTTTGCATGATATGTCCCCTTCAAGGGGATCTACCAGCAGCATAAAGACTGAACTGATCTACAGAGCATGATTAAAGTTTTCAATGTCCATCAGCACACGGGTTTTTAGCAAAAGCATCCAAACGTTTAGCCATTAAACAACTGGAAAACGTGACTAGATTGCAAACAATCGTGCCAAAATAGCCAACAATTGTCAAAAGCTGCTTTGATGTGTTTGTACTGGCACCAGGACAGGAAATATCATTTTTGAGAATGCAAATTGGTTCCATTAGTGTGCCACTCTGTCAATGGTCTCTTTGATCCACAATCACCCTCGCTCTCTGATCTCGTTAGTTGTCTCGTTAGTCTTTCCCCCTTCCGTCAGCAAAGAATGAAACCGACCCCGGGGTAAACAGACAGGAAACAAACGAACAAACAAACCGCAGCCCGCCTCAGTTTCTCATCACAAATCAGGTAGAAAATGGGAGCGGACGTCTGACCATCCAGATCCTGGCTGATGGCGGGAAACCATGTCACCTTCTGCTCACCCCTGGAGTTTTTACCACCACCCCTAGCATGGAGGTTACTCTTTGAAGGCACAATGCTGTGTTTTTTACTTCATCTTTTACTCATGACCCAACCCCTGYAGATGTATTTGCACCAATGTTTCCCTTTTATGGCTTCTTCTAGTTGGGTTTTTCACCCAGACATTTTCYATGTTCTTGGTGGTATTCAAAAATTACAATGATTTTAGTATTTGTAATTTTTCATGTTTTGAATTGAAAAAAATACACTGAGATCTCAGGGGATTCTGATGTTATCAGTCCATGAAATGGATGTTCTTAGGCGTTATCAGTCCCATACAATGGCTTTAGAGGGTCCCTACTGTGCCTTCTAGGCTTCAGACTGTCCCGACGGTGCTGGCTAGTGGGTTAATATATCAATGACAATGAGTCTGTAAATAACCAAAAGATATTGTAATAAWTTTTTTGTGTGCGTGTCRGTCTTGGGCCCTGGTCTCCCGCTCTCTGGTCYGACAWGCTACCCATTGCCCTATTGGAAGGCCACAATATGTAATTGTTGRAGGGCYGGCTCTTTAGYGCTAACCATGTCATTTGCTCTAAAGTTAACCTTAGTGGCTTAAAGCCTCATGTTAACCAGTTTTTTATGCCTCATATTRASCAGATAGTGATTTTATGCCTCATACTAACCAGCTGWCAATCGGAAGCCATTCTATTGGTCGGGGAACCTGCTAACCGGCAAAGGYGGGACATTCTGAAGCCATTCTAGGGGACTKATAACGCYTAATAATGTCCATTTCATGGATGATAACATCTGAAGCGGGTGGAGATCTTCAGTTCCTTTAGAAACTTTGTCTAAAATCTACTTACGGATGTTTGCTGCTTTGTTTTTGTCATCTAATGCTCCTTAGACCTTTTAGCTACTGCCTTGCTAATGTTAGCTTGTTAACTAACATCATAATTAAATGAAGCTTTYGGSTACYGTTTTGGTAATTTTAWCTTTTAGTTACAGTTTTTGAGCTTGGACCAACGATCAGCCGTGTCTTACCCAGAACATCCAGGACGTAGCTGTGAGAAATGGATCCATATTTGTTCTCCACCACGCAGGTGTAGTTTCCTCTGTCTGAGGGCACCACRCTTTCCATCACCAGGCTCCAGTGTTGGTGTCTTAGCTGCTCATGGAAACACAACAACACAATCAGAGTCAAACTCTTGATTTGTACAAACTTTATTCTTGGAGATCAGAAACGTTAAGAAGCACACACCTTAATCCCCCCGATGCGGTGCTCTCCTCTGAATTCACGACCGTTTTTCAGCCAGCGGATGTTTGGTATGGGGCTGCCCATGGCAGGACAGCGGAACTTCACCGTGTTTCCTGCAGGAACGGCATACAGCTTCTTCTCCATGCGCTGGGTGTGGGTCCAGTAGGGACCTGCGGRGACAAACCAACCAATGAGCCRTTTGTTTGGTTTAAGCTTCCTGATTGGTGCAAACAAAGCACTCACTTCTGGATAAGTAAACTTGATCATTTTCTATCTCGGCTGACGAGTCCTCCAAGCCGTTATCCTCGTCATCATCCCCCGACCCAAACGTGTCTGGGAATGAGACAGAGAAACCATGAAGACTGATCAAACAGACACGTCTTCCTGGTYGGTGTTCGAGCCCTACCTGCTACAGTGATGGTGAAGTTCCTGACTGGATTCTTGGTTCCTCTGAGAACACAAACGTAAACTCCTGAGTCGTCATACGTCACGTCTGTGATCTCCATGGTGGCTCCACGCAGCTGGACACGCGGYGTGGGCAGGAGTCGCACCCCCTCCCTGTACCAGCTGACCGCCATGCCCGGCCTGGTGTTCATGTCGCAGCGCAGCTTCAGAACGTTCCCCGGTTCCAGCAGGAGGTGCTCCGAGGTGTCCTCGCTCAGGTCCTCCATGACTTCTGTCCAAACCAGAAGACACATCAGCTCTCTGCTCCTCGGCTTTGTTTTTAGTYTCRAACTTGTATTTCTTTAGTTGTTTGACACGTAGTAGCATCTCTTCTAAATCTAGTAGTCGTTCCTTCAGCTTTGACCTTCAGGTCCTCTACCCCATTATCTTCAAGGGATTCTGATGTTATCAGTCGATGAAATGGACGTTATTAGGCGTTATCAGTCCCATACAATGGCTTTAGTGGGTCCCTACTGTGCCTTCTAGGCTTCAGACTGTCCCAACAGTTCCCCCTAGTGGGTTAATATATCAATGACAATAAATGTGTAAATAACCAAATGATATCGTAATAATTTTTTGTGTCCATGTCAATTTTGAACCCTGTTCTCCTGCCCTCTGGTCTGAGAATCTACCCATTGTCCCACTGGAAGGTCACAATATACAACTGTTGGAGGGCGGGGTCTTTAGCGCTAACCATGTCATTTGTGCTAAAGTTAACCTTAGTGGCTTTAAGCCTCACATTAACCAGACAGTGGTTTCATGCCTCATTCTAACTAGATAGTGGTTTTATACCTCATACTAACCAGCTGACAATCAGAAKCCATTCTATTGGTYGGGGAACCTGCTAACTGGCACAGGTGGGACATTCTGAAGCCATTCTAGRGGACTGATAAYGCCTAATAAYGTCCATTTCATGGATGATAACATCCGAAGCGTGTGATTGCCTTCCATCCCCACATACACACATGCACAATGAAGTCACCATRGTGACCCGACCCTCCTCCACTCAGACCCTCCTTCTCCTCCTCATCTTTTTGTTCCTGTGTGGATTATTGTGAGACTGAGAGCGATACATCTAACACCACAAACTCCCTCCCCTCCCCTTCTCACTCCAGAAAAGTGGCAAAGAAAAGAAGCGAGCCAGAAGAGAGGCTGAAGCTAATGAACATGTTGCAATGTGACAGAGGATGGAGAGTTTGAGGCTGAGGGGAGGTGAAGGTTCACTGAAGATCTAAGTGAGCAACGGGGAGGAGAACGCTCCTTTTTTTTCAGCCCACACAGACATTTATTGATTTTAACAGGAAAAGATTACTAAAAATCAAGCCTGACTCAGCATAATTGCTGTTTTACAGCAGGTAAACATCACCACATAATGAAATTAATTTTTACTTCACACACATCACTTAAATATCAAAGAGAAAAAATCAGTAGTTCCTCTGGATGGTTCTTCTTTAGTGAAACGTTTCGTCTCTCCTCCAAGAGACTTCTTCAGTCTGATGAGTTTCAGGTGAACTCAGCTTTATAAGCTCCGCCTCCACATGGACAAACAGGTTAGTCACATGTAAAAGAGGAACATCGTCTAACAATAGGCTTGATTAGTTCTATTGTTCATAGAGGGTCATGTGCCCCATCACCTAATTCCCCTCTGGGATCAATAAAGTATTTTTGAATTGAATTGAATTGAATTGACCCGTGTCGTGTTATGTGTATGTAGTGAATGCAAGCGGGGGTTCAACGTCCCCTTGTTTTTGTCCCTCTTTGTGTTAACAAAAACAAGGGGACTTTGAACCCCCGCCTGCATTCACTACATACACATAACACAACATCTAAGAACCACAGCATCCAAACCAATAAATCAGGTGATGGGTCACATGACCCTCTATGAACAATAGAGCTAATCAAGCCTATTGTTAGACGATGGCCCTATTTTGCATGTGACTAACCTGTTTGTCCAGGTGGAGGCGGAGCTTATAAGGCTGAGTTCACCTGAAACTCCTCAGACTGAAGAAGTCTCTTGGAGGAGAGACGAAACGTTTCAYTAAAGAAGAACCATCCAGAGGACCTACTGATTTTTTCTTTTTGATTTTTTCCATTACTGAGATGCATCAGGACATCACTTATATTTGGGCTCCGCTTAAGTTAAACTTCTATAGCATTTATTTATTTTTATTTTATTCATTTATTTCACTCAGAAAAACTAATAAATACGGTAAAATAAGAAAAATGAAATCACGCCCTGAATGAGAAGGGTTCGGAGTGAAGAAAAGAAATCATCATAAATATCCMTTATTTTCAAAAAATAACTTATGCTTGAATGATCTATAAATGTACCAAAAATCAAAGAAAAACATCCTTCATATCTTATTTTCACTTAATACTGCAAATAATGTCATATTTTCCCAGTAACTTCGACTTAATCACCTTTTAAACACATATTGCTTTAGAATTCYCTGAATTATCGCCCCTTCAGACTAGTTCCAAATGGAGGTTTTATATATAAAAAAACTCCATTCCCTTAAGGTAATAGTAACTTTCTCTCTTAACAAATACTAATTGAATATTTGAAGGTTATATTTTTATGAGCTTTAGACTTGTAAATTAGTATAATTAAGCAAATCTTAAAATTTTAATCATTTCAACTGATGAAACAATTATAAGTATAAAATTACCTGGGGTGATTTCAGCGATGGTCATTTTTACAGTTTGGGAAATGATGCTACCTGTGTAAGAGAAACGTAGTTCATAAATCTMTGAGTCCACATTAAAATCAATGTTTCTGTAGCCCTAAATGTAAAGAGTGTCTCACCAGGCAGGACCTCCAGCCACGCYGACTGCATGGCCTGAACGGTGCGTCCTCTGTGGCTGCTCTCAGCCAGGCACATGTACCTGCCTGCATCCTCCGTGCTGAGGTTGGACAGGTGCAGGGTGCTCACCTTGGACCCGTTACTCTGCAGTGGCTGCACCAAGGACAAGAAAGGTTACAGAACAATAAAGTCATGAAGCTGCTGTGTTTCTGACGTGTGTTCTCACCGTCAGCACCGTGACGCCAGGCGGGCCTCTTTGACTCTGTTCTGAACTCCTGGAATCGGTTTTCAGCCACTGAACCTTGGTCGATGCCGGCCGGTGGACTTTACAGACCAGTTTCACCTGACCCCCCACCACCCCCGTGGTGTTCTCCGGATAGCCTGGCACCATCAAAGGTCTGGACGCACGCAGGTCTGGAGAGCATAAATGTGGAAATAAGAAATTATTTTATATTTAAATAAAGTGTCTGAGTTTCTGACTTGAAAATTCAAAGTTTACAAGTTCATGTCTTCTTCTATCTGTCCACTTTAAATTACTTTATACCAGCACTGCAAAACTGTCCACCTAACCAAGTTTTAAATCTTATATCAGCCAAAAAGTCTTTTTCATCTTGTTTTCAGACTGATTTACTAAACAAGAACTGATTGTGTAAGAATAATCATCTTGTTTTCAGAATGTGTAAGAT